TATATATATATATATATATATATATATATATAAGGGGTGGATCCGTGGCAACATATTTTTGGCACAAGTTTTAGACCATTAGATCTATAAACTTTTAATAGTTGAGATGTACTTCGATTTCTCAAAACAATAAATTTTCTTTAATTGATATTTATACATTGGGATTTAAATTATGATACCATATTAATTAAGAATTCATTCTCTCTCTCATCTCATTTTTTTAATTTTATTTTTAAATAAAGCATCATAAGAGCATCCACAATGGGCTCCTTAAACCACTTCCTTAGACAAATTTTAGGAAGGATTTGGAAAAATACAACTCCAACCATGCTCCTTATCCACCTCATAAAATAAGCAGACCTCTAGGAGCTCCTAAATCTGAGGAGAGAGAGAGGACTCCTAGTAGCTCCCTATAATTTAATGTTGTTTTATTTAATGAGTATTTCAAACCTTTAATTAATGTTTATTATTTTTTATATTATTTTTTAATAGAGATTGACCAATTAGAAAAGAGTTATAGCATTTATGACTCCCTAAACTAAAGAGCATGATTGAAGTTTTAATTTTATAGAGAGCTCCTAAAATAACTTTGATATGGTCTGTTGGAACAAAGAAATCTTCCATATCTTCTCTACTAATTTGGATTGTCTTCGAGTTTCTCATATGCTATGTTTTAGCTTTAACTTTATATTCAGCATCTTCATAACCAATATTTTTTAAAAATAATTTATTATGTGATTTCAGGGTTTGCTGAAATTGGATGGCTAGTTTGTGATTTCAGGGTTACTGAAAAAGCAAGAAGAAAGGAGGGGGTGTTAATGACAAGGCACGAAGAAGAGAAGAAGAAGTGCCTTGTGTCAATAAGCCAGCAAAACTTAATTAAATGACAAGAGCGGAAATGCAAAAGTCAATTAAAATTTATTTTCTGTAAATGCTTATTTAAAGAATAAAATAATTAATTTGTTTAATCACACATTCATCGATCGTGGGCTAATCCAAGGGTTTAAAACTTGTGTCAAAAATATTCTTTGCATTTTTTCAGCAACAATGACCAAATGTTATGAAGAAGAAAATAAACTACATGGTCTTTATCTCTCAAGAAGAAATCAATGGGATATCCTTTCAAAATTTGTTCTAGCTATGTAAGAATCTCCCTCAACAACCAAATGCGACCCACAAAACTCTTTCGGTGGAGAATTCATTGGAAAAGGTTTTGAGTGTGTGTAGACTCCTACAGAATAAAGATGGAAGATAAAAGAAAAAGATTGACCAGAAGACAAAAATGAAGAGAGGAGAGAGAATATAAATAATTAATAGTCTTTATTTTTTGTTGGAATAATTAATAGTCTTTTAAAGGTATGCCGGGTTGTTCCCAAAGTTTATTAAATTTTTTAAAAGAATTGATATCTCATACAAATGCAATCCTAGCCATTGAAACTTACTTAATCCAATGGTTTAAAAAGTGTGTAAAAATTTGTGGTTTTTCATGTCCCCGATCCTAACTCATATATTGCTTTTTTTTTTTTTTTGTCTGAACCACGAGGTGGTCCTGGATGGATCCCAATTATGGGTGGCACCTTTAAGCCTTAACCACAACCCAGACTAATCCCCGCTCACACCGGATCGGCCCGTAAGGGGTAAAGTGCTTGCCAAAGTAGTGACTCCACACGAGAGCAGGGATCGAACCCCTGACCTCTCTTAAGGAATGAGAGTGTCGAACCACTCACACCAACTACCTTGGTTAACTCATATATTGCTTTCAATGGCTTTAAAAAGAAGTAAAAATGAAAAATTAATTAAGTAAAACAAATAATAAATAAACTTCTTCCAAAAGGGCAAGCCACATAGCAGACAATACCTCTTTAAATAAACATCTTCCCGCTACATTCTTCTATAGCAAGAAGAAAGAGAAACAAATAAAGATAGGTACCCTTCTCTTGTATTCAGTGAAGCAGGCCGTCTATACTGAAACTGCTCTTGAATAAAAACCCACATTTCAGCTGCACACTGCTTCAACTGCAAGCTTCTTTGGTACACTGGGACACAAATCCTCATTAAACTTCTCTTCTGTTAATTCTATGGCACATTTGTTTTGATTTAAGCAGACCTGCAATAAGTAGAAAGCATCTTAGGAAACTGAGAATATAATTAAAATGGAAATATTTCAATTCTATGAGATGATGGTGTGGTTTATGCACATGACTAGCTAAAGCTGGAAATTTATGCTAGTGCAAGGCATGAGGTTTTTGGATCTGATGACAGTTTCAGACTTTTGCTAGAGCAGAAGTGGCTAAATCATAGGATCAAGTCACTGAAGCCATCAAGTCACTGAAGCCGAGGCTTATTCAACACTGGAAACATATATCTCCCCAAAAATTTGATCATGAGCCATGACACTTCTGTGAGAAATTCTACATTTTGAGTTTACGTATTAACATTTCACCTTCTCATTTCTTAAAAAAACAATTAATATCTGAGAGTAATCAAAGCTCGACTTTATGCTGTCCTTGATGACTGTTGAGATCCATGTGTGAAGTAGAGAGGAAAGTGTGTAATTGATATACACAGCTTCGGACTAAAGCTTTGAATTCAAATGATGCCCAAAAATGTTATTAAGCCTGCTGCTGACAAGCTCACTATAAATTTAGTTGATTCAAATACAGGGGAGTTTGGAGGTGCTTACCTTTTCAACCACAGAAGTGGAGTTAGGATCATGACAGTTACCCTGGGTGTAGGATCCACAGGAGCCTGTAGGATTCCCGAAGCTGGCAAAGTTTACAGTCGAAATATGTGTCCCCTCAGGGCACCTCAAATGGACTGTTGCAATGGTATTGTTACTTCCATTTCCCTCAGGCCAAGATTCAAGGTCAATAGAGGGGTAATTCTCTGCAACAATGGCACATACACCTGTGATCTTCCGTCTCGAGAATTTAATTTTCAGTGGATCTCCACCTTTCTCCTCGAATATCACCAGCACATTTCCAGATTGCTTGAACCAAGACCGTGGAACATGGTACCTGCGCCAGACAGAAAGACGTTACTTTTTTGTTGGACACAAACAATAGAGCTGCATTTTTCTGTCATGCAGTTTCGCCTCATGAATTTTAGAAGAAAATAACTGAGAGCTCCAGGAAGATGTAAATCTATTATAGTAAAACAAAGTCCTACGAATTTGATAGCATAAAAGAATACCAGAAAAATCAGTAATCATTAGAAGGGAAGAAAAGCATGTTACTCATATTGTTTGGGATTGTATCCACAAATCAAAGTAAAGTTTCTTATGCTAAGACACTAGTGTTTTGTCTTTTTGGACACTAGTGTTTTGTCTTTTTGCAAGTGTGTGCCTTTGTAGAAAGAAAGTGTGTGTACATGCATGTGTGTGTGAATGCACGCCTGTGCTTGATTGCTTTAACATTCTTGATGGGGCAACAGTTATTTGAACACTATAACTTGGGACTGATCTCATCATCACTGCATCCTAATAACAGTGTAAAGCTTTTTGCTTTTACAGAACTCTCTTGAGTCCTGAGCTTTTTGCTTTTTTTCATTTTAAGATTTTGACAACTGGTGATGAAACTTATTCATGGCTGTCCGGTCCAATAATTTTCTGGCAGCAATTAAAAGGAAAGCAGCAGAAGACAATTGGCTTCTAAGTTTATTTCAAAAATAAAAAAGTGCATTGAACTTTTTTCCCTTGTTTTACCATCTTTGTGTTGGTCCTCCACATCCTGTGTTGCATTTGTCTGGATCAAATTTGCCTCTGTAATTGCATTCTTTAACACATCCATGATTAGGGCTCTTCCTAGGCCAGTATCTTCCAATTTCTTCTCCATTTAACCAAGCTAGACCTTTTCCCATGTCAATCATATCGAGCCCAATAGGTTCATCACCTGGCGGAGGGTCCACATTAACCTACAATATTCCAAGTAAATTCTCTATTACCGCCCTTAACCAGCTGTTCTTAAATAAGGTAAGGGCTTATTTGTCAAGCATATGAAAAGTCAGGTTATCCAAGTCTTCACCTTATACCACGTCAAAGGTTGTTTCCTTGGTGGTTCTGAGGTCAAAACCCAATTTGCATTACCTAAACCGTCTCCCTTGTAAAGTCCTAGGTGTTCTCCTTGCAATCCAATCTGGGAATAGAAAAAAGAAATTACACGTCAGTCAGTTAAAAAAACAAAAGCTGAAATACACTTTCAATACAGATTCTCAAAAGGTAGGCTATATTCTTTAGAAAAATTTTGCAACTCAAAGTTAACCACATTTAAACCCATTCTTTACACCAAATCAGGCCAAGTGATTAAATACGCGACCATGGCAGCACCAAACTAGAAAAGTTTGGTAGAATGAGGAAATATGCACCAATATATGTCACTTTGGACCAAACGATTGTGAACCAAGTGGGGAATTGGCTTGGCATAAGTTCTTTTCTACTCGTTAATTGATCAAGGACTTCAAATCTTTTTTATCTAGAAAGCTTAAATCACAATATGAAAAAAACAAAGAAATTGCCTTGAAATTGAGAGAATCAGTAGGAAATTACAAAGCGAAAATCTGATGAAAGGAAATCAATTGCGCACATGCTATATCTATAATCTGGGCCACTAGTGGCCCAACCTTGATGTGCTATCTTGGCATCTAAGTTGACCTTTGAAAATACTTTCCCTTTTCCTTGCAGACCTCCCCTTGGTACGCACAAGGATTTTCCTTGGAATATTCTAGACCACCTATTTCGGCCACAGTGCAAAGTTGGGTACAAACACCCATGTAAGAAATCAACTGGTTGCAGTTGGCATTCTGCTCTGTATTTTATGTTTCTTGTTTTCATTAGCTAAAGAAAAGCGAGAAGGAAAAAAAACTGATTGAAAGGGAGAAAATACCTTGTAGGTCCAATTATACGCAGACAAATCTATTGTCCCATTGTTGAACCCTGTAATGTTGACACTGGTTAGCCCTGCCCCTACCCATTCATAAAATGATCCTGCATTCTAAGAGCAAAAACAAGTAATTAATAAGATGTTAAAATTGTAGAATTAAAAGTTAACAAAAAGTTAACAATATACAAAGATGACTGGTAATGAGCCAGCTATATTCAATATAACATATATATATGTACGCATGTATGTATGCATAAGGAAAATCTCTAATGATGTTCTTTTGGAGAAAAAGACCGCATTGTGGAGGCTGACCCATCAATGTGGTCGAATGTATCAACTGTCTTTTCTCCTTTAGGTTTCCCCTTAAGATAAACAAAATTGCAGGATGGGCTCCAATACGTGGACTCCCTCTTTGGAAGCTCCCCATATTTATTCAAAAAAGCTAACCCGAGTTCTGCAGATATATATTCAAATATTACACTTCTGACTTAGGGAAGAAGAAAAGCATGGATTATATAAAGAGTTGCTACTGAATGTCTGAAAGGGTACTTGGCACTAAAAGAAACTACAACAAAATTTATGAAGTTTATTACCTACTTTTGTTTTTTGTTCTTTTTCTTTCTGACTAAGATCAAAGATCACTGGCCGTAGAAATACTGCAAATCTGAATCATCTCACTAGAGTCCCTTGCATTTTTAATAATAGATATAAACAAAGAGGAGAAAGGAAAGCACCCAGAATGTCTTCTCATTTAAAATTAACTAAAACTGGCAGTGTAGGTTAGGGTAATAGTGAACTATGAATACATAAGAAAATAGATTTGAAAGAATGGATGGGAGAATGGATTTAAAAAATCATAACTAAATGGAATCCAACATTTCCAAATTTTTTGAATTGGCATGGTAGACAACCCTGACTCATAGGCAGACTCATAGTTGTTTTTCCATTGTGCATCAAATGAAGTGGTTGACACTAGTCTCAACTGAAAGTTAACAGTAAATAATCATGGCAATTAGGCATGACAGAAGACGAACATACCTGCAAACCAACTGTCATGCTTAGCAGAGCAATTTCATTCTTTCCTGCCTTCAGAGAGATAGGAGTTTTTAATTTGAAGGGTGGGTGCGTCCCATTTCCAGATGCACTAGCTGAAGATCAAGCATATATGACAATTATTAGCAAGAGCTATCTTTAAAAAATTTGACGAAAAAGTTATTGGAGGGTGGGCTAATGGGTTAGGATTAGGACCAAAAAAAAAAAAGAGTTGTATACTATTCCCAAAATCTTAAACCTGTAAGAATGTGGGCCAACTACTACTTTGTATTCTAACACTCCCCCTCACAAGTGAGGATGCAATTGCAGGGATTCAAAGTCAGGGTCTCCTGCTATGACACCCGGTTGAAGAGGATCCAATCCGGCACAAATTGGCTACAGGTGGAGAGGCCCAGGATCTTATATATCATGGGATTAGAACTGATGTGGGGTTTAATATTCTCAACGGATAACAGTCACTACAGAAACATGACTCATTTTAACAGAAAAAGAAGTGCATGCAAGTTTGCCTTTTGAATACTGACCATAAAACTTTTAGATCAGAATAATAACCTTGGAGTTCTTGATTCACAAAAGCATGGAGAGCATGACCCTTTGATTCAATTAGAAGAACTGGCGAGCTACCATTCTTTAGAAATGCTTCAGTTTCACCAACAAATATGCTGCGATTAAAGAATCCTATGAGTCATAGAAATTACTTGATTCAGCTCTACAATGCACATTTAATCTATTTTACATATCTGTTACATCATGTGTGCACATTGGCTTAAGTAGAAAAGGAATCTCCAAAGATACTACTAAAAAAATTATACGAATTTTTTTTATAATCAAAATGCATATAAAATGGAGCAGTTATCGATATATAATAGAAAAATTTATAGAGCAGCAGCAGAGGAGCTTTCTAATAACTAAAAGTACGGGAAAAATAGCAAAATTTGGGTTTTAAGATGTATCAAAGAACAAAATGAATTTAGTACCAATTTTCTATTTTTATCCATTGGATACCAATTTTCTATCTTTATGCATTGGAGACCATTTGAAAAACCAAATCAAGGGATCTAAGACTCTAATGTAGTGTAAATAATTAGCAAATTTAGGGTTTTAAGATTTATCAAAGAACAAAATGCATTTAGTACTCATTTTCTATTTTTATGCACTGCAGACCATTTGAAAACCTAAATCGAAGGATCTAAGACTCTTATAAAGTCTAAATGCATACAGAAGGAAGCTTTAGACCTTGATTCATAGAGGAAGAGTGAGTTTAAATATGAGTTTCATTTAAAAAGAAGAAAAACAAAGCTTTATTATTGAAAAAAGAAGAAAAACACAAATGAAATGGACTAAATTCCATCACATCCGAGACACACCTTTCAAAACATATTACACAGGATTATTTTTTAATTTTCAAAATTTAAGAGCATTTCAATTAAGGGTTTAGTTTTTTTAAAGTTTTAAAAACTTCAAACGAAAAATGGTTGGGAAGTTTGAAACTTTTTTTTTTGGAGATAGGTGTAATGATCTTGGGTGTAAATAGTACCTTTCAATTTTTAATGGCCCAAAAAGTCAATGTCACTTGGGGTCCTATGTTATCCCCATCCCGGACTATTTATTGCCTCTAAGCACGCTCTTGACTTAGCAATAAAAGGCCTAAGTGGCTACCAAATCCTTGATAAAAATGACAGAGAAAATGGTAAAAGCATGCTGTTATTTATTTTCATAATGAGCAAAGACGAACCTTGTTGTGTACCATAGATAGTCGGTGGTAAATTTTGTGGTGTTGATGTGATCCACCAAGCCATTTTTAACGAAGTCAGCTTCAGCCCAAATTCCAGGTTTCTCCACAAATACATCCCATTTGAGATCTTTAAAGCTTTTGTCAGGTGATACCACTGATGGCTGCAAACTCTCAGGTAGCATTTCAACTACAGAGCTCTGGTATCCAACCTGTTGGAAAATTTAATCTTGAACTGTAAATCCTAACTCAAAATCAAATTGATACTACCCTGAATCGTAGTTTGAACGGGATCCTATGTAAGAAGCAGAACATATCTATATACGCATATATGCATGTATTCAGCATTATCCCCGTCCCGGACTATTTATTGCCTCTAAGCACGCTCTTGACTTAGCAATAAAAGGCCTAAGTGGCTACCAAATCCTTGATAAAAATGACAGAGAAAATGGTAAAAGCATGCTGTTATTTATTTTCATAATGAGCAAAGACGAACCTTGTTGTGTACCATAGATAGTCGGTGGTAAATTTTGTGGTGTTGATGTGATCCACCAAGCCATTTTTAACGAAGTCAGCTTCAGCCCAAATTCCAGGTTTCTCCACAAATACATCCCATTTGAGATCTTTAAAGCTTTTGTCAGGTGATACCACTGATGGCTGCAAACTCTCAGGTAGCATTTCAACTACAGAGCTCTGGTATCCAACCTGTTGGAAAATTTAATCTTGAACTGTAAATCCTAACTCAAAATCAAATTGATACTACCCTGAATCGTAGTTTGAACGGGATCCTATGTAAGAAGCAGAACATATCTATATACGCATATATGCATGTATTCAGCATACAAGATAAGATAAACATATTAACAATTGAAAGTATATCTTGTCGGGAATGAGAGTACGCAGGCATCACAGAACTGAATTTTTACCTTTGCGGTATTAAATACTGCATTTTTGCAGTCAGGCAGTATGCTAACTGACCATGCTGGCAGATGATATGACACATTTCGAAATTCTACTGTCTTGTCATTTTTGTCGTCCATGTTAGCTATAAAGGCAGCACATGCTCCAGAAGAGTCAGTATACACATCAGCCTACAATGCAGGGTACTGTTCAGTAATATTTCCCTAGTTGTGAAATAGATTAAAAGGAAGTTTTAATTTGGTGAAAATATTAAAAGAACAAATTGGCAGAACCGAATATTACAACATGAACTAAAAAGTATAAGCAGTGGACATTTAAAATATATATATGAAAATTTATTTGATAAGAAAGACTGTGCATTAAAGTGCACAAGTAATCCCTCAAGAGCATAAAAGAAAAGAACATTAATACAGAAAACTAAATACTACAACATGAGCTAAAACGTATAAGCAGAGGAAACAAAAAATATGAAATGACTGTACAATAAAGTGCACAAATAATCCGCCAAGAGCATAAAAGAAAAGAACATTAATACAGAGAACTAGATCTAGAATAAGAAACCACAGTTAATCAAGCTGTCCCTTTTCCCTTACCCTGCACCTTCCCACAAAAAGTTACACATTCTTCCTTCCAATTTCTTAACAATACCCCAAGGAGCCGTAAATAGAGAAACATCGTAAGTCGGCAAGCTACCCAATACCGATTGCATTAACGTTAAACGTCCCCCTCTCGACAAGAAAGCTTTTTCCCAACCCTGCAAGTGCCTCTCAACCTTCTCTAATGCCAGGTTTCAGAAGCTAGCACTTCTCAGATTACTCCCCATTGGTAGGCCCAAATATTTTAAAGTCCACAATCCCAATCCACAACCCCACAACTCTGCCAACCTCTGAACTTTGCTATCCTTTGTGTTAAAATCCAACATCAAACATTTTGACTTGTTAATTTTCAAGTCATAGTGTACAAAAAAGAAAAAACCAGCAAAGATAGCATGCTCCTCCATTTCTGTTCATCATCAGATAGGAAATATACTGTATCATCCACCAATTTCAGGTGTGAAATTTCCAGTCTATCTCTTCCTACCTCCCACCCCAAAACTAACTGATTTTGTAATGCTTTCTAGACTAATCTACTTAACACATGAGTTATCAACACCAATAAAAAAGGAGACAGCAGATCTGCTTGCTAATCCCTCTTGAGGCACCAAATTTTCCCTTAGGTCTCGCACTAATTAAAATGAAAAAGATGGACTAAGTGCAAGCATTCACTGATCCATCGCCTCCATTTAGTTTTGAAGCCCTTCTTCTCCAACACAAAATCAAGGAAATTCCACTCCATGTGGTCGTAGGCTTTCTCAGAGTCAATCTTGAACACAAAAGCTTCCTTTTTCATAAGCAGCAGAGAATATGACTGTACAGCTAAAATTGAATTTAACACATCCACTAACAAGAACCACATAGCAGCTCCTGTACAAGTACTACCAGCATATCAAATTAATTAGAACACATTCAAGGATCTTTGAAGACGAAGTCGGCCAAATACCAAGCTTTAAACTAGTTTCCTTTGATTACTATATCTAGGGCAAAAACAAAACATTAATATCTAGCAATGACAAAGACGAATACTGTCAGAAAATATACCTCTTGGGAAGGACCCAGTGAAACATTAATTCGCTCACCATTGAGCATGATATGCTCACATAACTTAATGGCTCTGTGAAGTTGCTTAAGGTGGCCCCATTTTGGAAGCCTAGGTAATCCTATAAACGAAATGAAAACAAGAAGTACATTAGAATTTAGTATCACAAATGTTGGGTATATTCATATTCAGATTGGATATATAAAAGTTGAAAAAAAAAATTTGAGGCATCACAATAGCTAACCATATTCATCAATTGGTGCCTCATAGTCATAACTCGTGGTAATGAATGGTCCACCTGAAGTGCGACCAAAATTGGTTCCTCCATGATACTAAACCACAAAAGAAAAAAGTAACAACTATGATAATTACGTTAACAAATGTAATGCCACCAACAATAGAGAAATAATGAATGAAAAAATTGATGAACATGGAAACAAAAAAACAAAAAAAAAGTACCAAAGGAGAAATCTAATGGCAAAGTTACATAACATACATGAAAATTTTGTCACAGAATTAATGAAGTACCATGTAGTAATTTTGAACACTGCCTCCTTTTTGGAAAAAGCGAGCTACAGAATAAGCAATATCTTCAGCTGGCCTGTGAGGATTTCTGGCGCCAAATGTTTGAAACCTGAAATAAATGGGAGATTGATCCAACCACATAAGCTAAGAGGAAATTTTGATTCAGAAAGAATCAGCATATGGAAAGAGAGAGAGTACTGTTCCAAGATAAGACTGAAACAGCTACAGCAGAATTAAATTATGAGGCACCTAGTCATAGGTCCCCAATGCATATATATATTTCTTACCCAGAAGCATGCACCCATACTTTGTATTCTAATCCCCCATGATATATTACTCAGCGGCAGTTAGAGGACTGTAACAATCCATTTTAAGTCAGTTGCAGTTAGACCCACTGTAACTCAATTGCCGACTGAATATTCACCAATGTATCCTTAATGGAAAAAACCTCACACCCTAAATCCTATATCTTAATCTCATAAACTCCTTAAAACCATATTAAAATAATAAAGCCAAACAACGCCTAATGAACCCATAAGACATTAAATAAAAATCAGAGATTGAAGTCATCCTATTTGTTGCACAAGGTAGCTGGAAACTACGAGCGACTTAAGGTGGAGCAAACAGGATGAAGCATGCTACATAATGCGTTGGAAGTCACCCTGTAGGGTGCTAAAGGAAGCAAGGCATGATGTGTAGTCCAAGGTGTAGGCACACACCCTAGGTGCTCAGATGCAGGTTCTTGGATATGGGTGTATCTCGAGACGTTGCAGCAACACATGAATGCAGGCACATTGTGCGGTTCAACGCCTATCATGCTCTACTGTGACAACCTTAGTACCATTTACATTGCTTCAATCTAGTTTCATGCTTGCACCAAATATATTCAACTCCATTATCATTTTTTATTGAAGCTTGTGATATATAGAAGCCTCCATGTTCAGTTTGTTTCTTATGCTGATCAGACCACTGACACTTGATGATTCTCAGGAAAATATAAATAAATAAAACAACTGTACGATTAGTAAACAAGAAGCCTCTGGAAAAAACTAAACAAGGACCTAGATCAGTGATTCTATCCTAAAGAAGTTAAATCAAGGCAACCACCGCATTCCAGAAAACTAGATAACATCTGCTTCCCGATCTAATAGAATAACAGAGAAAGATAGCCCCTTAAACTCCAAAGCTACAAATGCCCACAAATAAGCCCAAAACTGCACACCCTAACCTATAAACACTCCTCCTCACCAAGGAACACTTTTAGCTATTGTGTTTTTTGTTTTTGAGTACATGAATTTAGAATATAACACCCACATCACAATATCTAATACCTTTGACTTCTACACTCATTGCCAACCAGTTTTGACTTGGGTGCTCTAACTTGAACTTGGTACTAGAGTGCGGAATTCATCCTCATGTCAAGCCAATTTGGCTATACATGCTCCACGCCATCTAACATCATTGATCCACATCTTTTTGCTCAATATGTCTACATGTGAGGGTGTGTTTTGAGAATATAAAATTTCACATCCCAAATTCTAAGCCTTGTATCAGAATATATGATATTCCTTTCCACTCATTCTGTCCCAATTGGTTTTTGGTTGGATGTTCTACCCTCAACTCATTCTGAACTCATTTGCCATAGACTATATAGTTTTCAGAGGTCTGTTAAACTGTCCGTCAGTGATTTTAGTTGTGTATCATTTGCATATATTAGGTGTTAGTTTGTAGACTTACCTAATTCGAATATATTCTCTTGAAAGAAGAATATATTGAAAATGGTTAATTCGCGAAAAATAAAAAGACAATTTTGTCTTGAATATGTTAATAGAAACCATACCAAAAAAAATTCGATGGGAGCTGGCATAACAAAAGTATTTGATTTTCAAGCACCTACACTTTCATGAAGATGGCTAAATGATGATGATATCATAACAAAAAGATTAATAGAAAAATGAAACATAGAAATGAAATAGAAACAGAGAGACAAAGGTGCAATACTACATTACCAGCCAGGCCAATTCTCTGTCCAAATTTTAGGTTTGTTCGGATAGATAGGTGTAAATTGATCACAGTAGAACGAGTTACAAGTATTTATCTGCAAAAGAAACATGGATTGGGATGTCATACTTTTCGTAGAATGCTAAAATTCCCAAACATCCAAATCTTATATAATTTTAAGGTATTAGTCCATACATAAATCAAACAAGAATTCAATACACAGGTCATATAAAAAAATGTGCATAGATACAGTGATACCATGACTTTCATATCACATGACCATTCAAAGAAGAAATAATGGCATCTGAACTCCTGAATTACTTGTGCAAATTTTTTCTTGTGCAACACAGAGAGAGAGAGAGAGAGAGAGAGAGAGAGAGAGTCAAGATACCCTTGAGTAAACCATAACAATCCAGTCAATAAATCAGTAACTGCTTAAACCTGCCTGTGATTATAATGGGTTTATATATAAGGGATCCCTTAAATAATTTTATTTGAGGGATGACCTTTAAGGTACCCTACGATTTTTTTTTCCAACGATCGAAACTATCTAATTTTTAAGTCTTCATTCATTAATCATCCTTGCCAAAAATTGGACAAATCGGAAACCATTTAGACATTTAATTGTGTCCTAGAAAATCAATGAAAACGGTGCTTCAAGAAAGTACTAAAATTTCAATAATTTAATTGAGTGGTCAAATGATATCGGATTCAAGTGATTTTTTGCAGAAATGATCCTTGAATGAATATCTACAAAATAAACGGTTTGGATAAATGAAATACAATGTATGGTGGGCCCTACATGGGTGTCCCTCAAATAAGGTTTAGGGTTTATATAAATATATATATGAGAAACTGCAAGGAGAAATTCCTTCAACCTTATTTTTCTATTGTATGATACAGAAAACATGCCTAAAAAAATCACGTCAGTAAAAGGCAAGGTGAACAAACGCACATTTTTAAATCTTAAATTGTTTTGACATAAAAGAATTCTTCAATTTAGTTAATTGAAGTACAGAAGCTTGAAGAAAAATGTCAAAATTAAAAGTTTTAATCTGACCAACTCATTATAACAATAATATCGTTCAACTATACATGTGCAGATACTCTCCCAATTCCAGAAGTCAAAAACCAAAACTTTTTTATATTGTTTCAGTCATAAATAGGCAGAATCTGGATTCTGTAAATTATATATAATAAATTAATAATTGTAAATAAACACTAAACAGTACTTCTCTAAGCTAAGATCAAAAACCTTTCAAGTGACCTTACCACAGACTCTGGAGCATCAAATTGTTGGCACATGATCCAAGGCACGCCTATATTCTGAGAAACAGCCATGCTAGCAGCCCACATGGCATATTGTTTACCCCCATCTCCATAGTCTTTTTCATAGTATCCATACTCATTTTCTATCTGCAGCGAAAGAACTATGTTGAGTGAAGCTTAACATCTGTTACAAAGATGTACATTAATGAAAAAACCGAGTAAAAGAATCTGAAAACCTTTTTTCTGTTCTTTTCTTTCTTTTCCTAACAAGAAAAATTCAAAACTAAAACATAGACAAAATTCCCAAACCCTTCAATTGATTTACTTGATCGAAAAAAGAAATTTTCAGTTTTGGAAGAAGACAATTATAAGTGAAATCAAACCAAACAACAAAAAATTAACTGAACATACGGCTCTCTAGAATCAGAATCTATGGAAACTTTCTCATATCAATTTATTATAATTTAAAACTGATAAGTAAGTCTACTATATTAGCAAGATGTGTCTTCGAAATTTACTTTCACATAACAATATCCTTTTTAGCTCAGGGAAATTTTTAATTTCAAATACTAATCTCCTTTACATATAAACATTATCACTTGCATAAACAATAATGTAAGCAAACTTAAATCTTATTGGGATAATAAGATTCAAAATCTAGGGACACTAACAATTTCATCAATTCTGTTGAGAATGGATGGATTTCATGTACCTCATCCTTTAAATTGTTAACAAATTTGTGTAATAGAAAAACTAAAACAATGATCTGTAAAAATCGAAAATGAATTCCAATCACACAATGTGATTAGGGAACTAGAATGATTACACAATGTCACCAAGATGAGCTAAATAAAAATCTCGTAAATACAAATGCTTTCCAGCCAAGAAAGCAAATCAGAATAAACAATTATATAGAAAGATCACCAGGCAAATCAGAATCAGAATCAGAATCAATCTGGACCTAGAGCTCCCATTTTAGTAGAAGAAAACAAGGTTCACAAATCATATTTTCTTTTCTATTTTGACATCTTTAGTACGCTTGACAGAGTAGAAATGCAAGATTTGGAATAGAAACAATTATCTAATGTATTCATCTCTCAAGAAGGATAAATATATAGAAACCAAATATTTACCAATAAGACAACTACGTTTAATTGACAAAACGTAACCCTAGCATGATGCTGTATAATTGCACAAAACCAGGACATTTGATTAACTATCACTAAATGGTTTAACCAAAAATAAAAATTTCATCTAAGTGCTTCCGAAATCAAAGATACTTGCCTGTGCCAAGATAATGGGACCTCCTTGTGATGCAAAAAGCTTCTCCTGTTTCATAAGGTTAACTATGAATGCTGTGAACTTCTGCATATGATACTGAAACCCCAGGAAGTAGGCAAAATCAGTTAGAGAGGGGAAACTAATTAATTTCAAATGGGAAACAGTTATGATGTAGCACCTAAACAGAAATACATGAAGGAGAAAATAGAGGGGATGAAGAAAATTGGTTTAATTATTTAATCACCTCTACATAAATTGAAACACAATGGCCTGGTGATTGAAGCCAACATGAAAGTAAGAATGAAATCCAATCTCTATCCCAAGATCATAAGAAAATATGAATATTCTTGGAACATTATCGATAATATTTCTACCCTAGGCAGTAACAATTTGACTTCCATACCTTAAAGGGCTCATTTTCAGTTCGAAATACAGTGCCAGGCACATAATGCAGCCAAACGGGTACTCCTCTGTTGTATTAAACAAATATTTCTTAGGAGTTCTCAAACAATAATTAAAGTAAGAAAAGTAGCTGGAAAAAAGTATGCAACAGGAGAAACCAATATTACAATCCAAAATAGAATGGCATACCCAAAGTACCATTCTGCGGCAACAAATGGGCCAATTCGAAGAATCAAGTACATCCCAGCCTGCTCGACGATCTTCACAAACTTCACCAGATCATATCGTCCCCCAAAATAATACTGAAAATCCCAATTAAGACATTAAGTACCTCTTAATCCATATGTCACCAAAAAAAAAAAAATTAAAAAAAAAGAGCTTTTTCCTTTTGGAATTTCACTCACATTGCCTGGAGATGGTTCATGACCATTCCAAAAGACATATGTCTCAATCACATCCACCCCTCCTTCTTTTGCCGTTTGAACTAGATTCGGCCACATCTAGACCACGCAAACAAACCACATTCAAGTTTTGAACCAAGTAACAATGCAACGCACAAGCAATACAAAAAGGGAAACAATGGGGAAAACCATCAGATAATGAAACAAAATTAAATAGATGTGCTTAGAGGGTCTTCTATCAAACAATTAGGCTCCATTAAATTGCCAAGGAAAATGCAGAACATAAAAGAGCTATCTCTAGCTAGCTAGTTAACTAGAAAGAAAGAGTAAAGTAAAGTGGGTTTTTGATAGAGACAGTTACCCCTGGGACACTGCGAGGGTAGTGAATGGCAGCAGAAATGAGTAGCTTCCGCTGGCCATCGATTATCAGAGACCGACTGTCGTAGCTCACGTTACTTGCCATCGCCATTGCCGACCACAATGTCAAGCTCAGTAACAGCGAAAACAGTAGCCATGGCAGCTTCATCTTCTTCAGAGAGCTAGCTAGCTATGAATGAAGCTCAATGGCCTTTTATGTATGAATGTGTGTGAGGGAGACGGACAGAAAAGAACAGAGCATGTGAAATTGGGTAATCTATTGATGACGAATAGCTCAGCAATCTCAGTGGGACAGGTACTGCCTAATACTGTCCAATCCAATCCCAGTAGTATTTTCTCTTTTTTTCTTTTTTATTTGTATTTTTATACAGAATAAATAAATATTTGAAAAAATACAGAGAGAGGGTTTTTTGGGGTTTTAGGGAAGTCGGTGGATCTCATCTCTGACAATCACAACCTCCGGTACAATCCCAAGATTGGCTGCAGATTTCATGTCATGTCAGAGTCATGTGGGTGGTTGGATACGTGTTTGTCCTAACGGATCTTTTTCTTTTTCTTTTTCTTTTTTTTTTGAGAAACAAGTTTCATTAAGAGCACTTCCGATAGATAGAGCATCTCCAGCGCAGACTCAAAACCAGGCAAAAGGCCCCCCGAGCAAGCCCAAGTCGCTCCAGTGCAGCAGCCTCCAGCCCGGTTTGGTGTGGGTCCCACCAGTCTGGGCAAGTCCAAGGGCAGGTTTCGCCTGGGCTTCAGCCCGAGTCTTGTGACGTCAGCGCTGGAGTCACGCTGACGTCAGCGCGAGGTAATTCAAATTTTTTTAACCGTTGGCGCGTGAATTACACGTACCAACGGTAAAAAAAATTTGACTTCCGCGCGCTGGCGTTAGCGTGACGTCAGCCCTGGCAGACTCCAACAGCTATGTGACACGTGTCGCAACTGGGACGCTCCGATATGTTTTTTTCCAGAAATCCGACGGTCCTCGTTTTTTGGCCAAAAAAATTGCAAAAAATATCCAAAAAATTCTGAAATTTTTTAAAAAAATTATGTATTTTTTCCCTATAAATACCTAACCATTTTATTTACTTTTCACACCAAATCTTCGTACAATTTCTTCTCCATCCAAATTTTTTACTCTCCACTCACATTATTCACTTTCCACATCAATTCTCCATACAAACTCTTCTCCTTCCAATATTTTTTTCTCTCCACTCACATTTTTCACTTTCCACATCAATTCTCCATACAAACTCTTCTCCTTCCAATATTTTTTACTCTCAACTCACATTTTTCTACTACTTTCCATTTGTATAAAAAAAAAAAATAAAAACAAATGGCATCCTCTGTCGAAACCGGAGGCTCGTGGGCAACTCAGGAAGATATTGCGTTGTGTCAATCTTGGGTGAACGTTAGTCATGACCCTATCACAGGTTATGAGATGAAGTTCCATCATATGTGGAGCAAAATTCATGGAGAATTTTATCAAAGATTGAGTTCCATTCGGACCGAAATGGCCTTGTCTAGTAGATGGAAATTTCTGAATAAAGAGTTGGGGAAATGGAGAAATGCCTTGACAAAAGCAAGGGAGAACATTCGAAGCGGTCAAAATCTATCCGATGCGGTAAAATATTTATATTTGCCATTTTAATCAATTTAAAGTAACTTTTTTTTGTGTGCATATTCTATTTCTTTTTCTTGCATAATTTTTTTTCTTTCTTTTTGCATATTCTATTTCTTTTTCTTGCATAATCTTTTTTTTTTCTTTTTGCATTTCCAATTTGTCTATATTTTCTTGCATAATCAATTTTATTCTTGCATTTCCAAATAGTTTATATTTTCTTCCATAATAATTTTTTTTCTTGCACTTCCAATTATTTATTTTTAATAGATCATACAAGCACAAATGTGGTTCGGTGCCATGGGGCAAGGCAAAAAAAGTTTTGTGCATTTCCAATGTTGGGAAGTTGTGAAGGATTGTTCGAGATTCAAAATTATTCTCACCGGTCCGCCGGTTGTGTTGAATGAGACGCCGCTCCACGATTCGCCATCAACCGATTCACCATTGGACTCCCCAATGGAAACGGAGTCACCACTTCCACGTCCGCCAAGACCTATTGGGAAAAAGGCGGCAAAGGCCAAGAGAGGTGGCACTTCGAACAATGAATGTGTACAATTATTGGAGCAAATAGCTAAGAATTGAGAGAAACTTGAAAAGAGATGCATTGGACATGGCAGGAGAGGAAGCATTTGCAATTCAACAGCAACAGGCACAAGAAAAAGACATGGAGGATAGAGAGATGAAAATCATGGCCATGGATACGAGCCATATGTCTCCTGAAACAAAGGCCTATTGGAAGCTAAGACGAAGGGATGTGATGAGAAGAAAACTTTTCCAAGACGACGGACCTAGCAATACGGATTGGTTAAATGATGAAAACCATTAGGTTGTATTGAAACACCTTTGCCATATGTTGTATTG